TTATTTTAAAATCTACTTCCTAAGCTCCACAATTGTAAGTTTTAAGACAGCTCCTTTCTAAGACTTTTCACCCTTTACATAAAATAGCACTTTAATAAAAAATGTCTGAAGGTATTTATTCTTGCTCAGGGATCGGTAAAGATTATGAACAAAGAAGGCATTCACAAAGCATAAATACAGTCTAGAGACGCTAATCTTCCATGCTGCCTTTATAGTTAATCGAGAAGGACCAGGTCCTCCAGAGGATGATTCAGAGAAGCTAAACTAGTCTCTTAAATCACACTAGCGTTAAAAAAAAAAAACCTCCAAAAAACCCCACTTCTCTACAATGATTGCAGAAGGACTCTAGGGAGACCTTGCTTCTTTGTGAATAACCCGCCTCCCAGATTTTCAAACTTGTGTGTCTGAAATGAGGCTAAGCGCATCCTGGGAAGCCAGCATAGACCCTGTGTTTAGCAAGGTGCACGTAAGTACTTACAGAGCCTGCTGCCTTCAATGTCATTTACAAAATTCCATCGGGGTTGAAAGGCAGGCTGTTGGCAGTTACATGCTGAAGTAGGAAGGAAAAAAAAACTCACATTGGGAGTGAAAAAAAAAAAATCTGTATTTTTGCCTTTCAAGAAATGAGGCAATCCTTCTAAAACCACACAGGTGGCCACACTATTAACAAGCTTCAGGATGTCAGACTGCACGAGCAGCAGAATAGTTGAGGACGGTAAGGGGAGTTCTGCACTAGGTATTGAACTGAAAACACTATTAACTAAACCAATGCCAGCGTAACAGGAAGTCTTTCTCCGCATACACCACAGTAATTTTTATGTTACTGAACCAACCAGGAATTGTTTAATCAGCAAGGACAGTAGGAAACATTCAAACAGCAGGAAAGTGAAGAAAGGGGCCCTTGTTGGCAGATTATTTTGGAGCATGCTCGAGTCTCTCAGGTTTTCTTTTCTGAATAGGCCTTTTTCACTTGTTGGGTGACATCTTCCGTTTCTCTAGGAGGGGTTTATGTGGTTGGTGGGGTGCTACCAGTGGTGGGTCTACGTCTGCAACTTTCATCTTCATGGTTTTTTTGTGACCAGCTGTATTACGGGAGTGTTGCTTGGCCGAGTCGGAACAACTAATAATGACCGCAAAATCATTTGTTTTCTGTTCAGAAGGACTGGAGATTTCTTCTGCACTGGAGTACTTTCCTGACCCAACTGTGATTGTTTTATAGGGAAGATTAAACCTCAGGGTATGAGGTGTGCTTGTATTCTCCCAAAACTGAAATATGAGAAGAAAACAGTATTTTTGAATTTCGATGTACATTTATGGATGCATCTGTATGCTAAAGGCAAAATGTGGTCAAGATGTCTGAATTTAAAAGTATTTCCTCTGAATATCTGAATTTGACCTTATTCAAGCCCTTTATTGTGCAATGATCCTTTTTTAACATACCGGAGATGTGAAGTGCCTTGAAACTGTAACCCAGAGCCTTGCTAGCTTATCTTACTGAGTCATCTCTGTTTTCCAGGTAACTCAGAAGTGTAATTTGTAAATTCTTTGGAGCCAAGGCCTAGTCTTATTTCTGTATCTGAAATTCCAGGTGCTCTACTGAAATCCTGAAATACTGGCATTCATTGAAAAAAACCTTACGTATTCTCCACAGAAAGCTTGAAATTAGGAATGAATATATCGTTCACCCTTTTAATAATAACTGGTTCAATAAACATACCAGCAGGGAACACATCCTGATGATAACTGATTTTAGATCAAAGGCTGGTATCTTTACAAACACAATCAGTGGCAACTTGTTTAAGCTCTGAAAGTACACTATACACTGGAGAACAGGGAGTAATTCAGAGATTTGGTTTTGACGCAGCCATATAATATTATGATAAACGTGTACAATTTTTATATGCATAATATGTACTCTTCATTGTTGAGCATTTTTGCTAAAACTCAACAACTTCGTTTGACTCCAGAGAGTTTTGCTTTTAGAAAGTGGCTTGTGTAAATGAAGACACTAAAATGAATTTCTAGAAACAACCAGTGAGTTTCTCTTAGTTCTGTGATATCACACCACATTTTTGCCTCTACTTGTTTTAAGAATTAAGAATTAATGTTCTTAAGCTATCACTTTAAGAATTATCTTAAACTAAACAAACTGACCATAATCAGTGTTGTTATGGGGATACAAATACAATTCTGTAAATGAGTTATGCCTTGTAAATGACTTGTACTCACCCTGTGTACCCTTTTGGCATATGTTAAATCAATTTTTGAGACTTCCATAATGTGTAATGTATTAATCTTTATTCCGCATAACACTCAGAAGCATAGTTGGAGATTTTTTTTCAAAATCTAGTTTTATTTAGTTTTGGTATGTATTTCTGTTCAGAGGAAGGGTTCCTAACATGAAAAAAACCATAATCCTTAAGCTCAACTCATAGAATGGCAGCAGGCATAAACATTTACAGAAACTGTGTTCGGTAATGCTTACAGACAGCTTGCAAATACCACACAGTTACTTTAGCTCTAAAAGGAACTAAAACGTCTGAAGTTAAACTATTACGGATTCCTTAAAAGACAAAGTCAATCTAAACATTTATGTAAACAGCTCTTTCAGTCTAAGATATTAAATCTGAGAAATTATGTTAAGACTGTTCTGTAAAACCTTTTACTGCAGACAAACAAAAATTGACTAAAAATTAAACAGTCTTGATTCTTCAAAGCTGAGGGACAAGTCTTCCCCGACCTTCAAAGGTGTTACTTCCTGGCTGCACTTACGGGATAACTTCTGCTCAAAATGTTTCTTAACTGGATTTTAATTCATAATTAATCATTCAATTTCTTATTTTACTACAGACACAGAGTTCATGTTAAAATAAGCATAGCTGTTTTCTTTTTCCTCTGAACTTGACACAAAACCTTTTGTTTAGGAATAAAACTTGAAATCGCATTTTTAGTAACTTGCTGACAAAAGCAGGTACTGCTGATTGCACAAACCCAGATACCAATGAGCAATGAGACATTAAACTTCCAGATACACTAGAACTAGATTAATTGATTTTTTCCAAAAGAAAACCAAACAAACAGCTTGTAGGGAGCAAGTTGTTGATAAACAAAAGAAACCCAAAAGCAAGAAAGGATGTCATAAACCCATTAACAATTCACAGAATAAAATATTAGCTCATAGTCTCCATTCAACAGTAAAAAAGATTTGCCAGAATATTAACAGCAATAAGTAAAAGGCACCCTCGCATTGAAGCCACAGATGGAACAAAGCACGCATTGGGTGAACGTATATACTTCCGCGATACAGAAGTGTCCTGCTTGGTTGTGTCCTTTTTTTATTATTTGGTGATGTGAATTTTGCTGCAGTATTTTCCTGCCCACTGCCCCACCTCTGCTCCTGTTAGCCATCTCTTACTTACAGCTCCCATCACCAAAAGGTACAGGCATCTTCCAAATCCACAAAACAAAACCAGCTGTCTAATTTCTTCTTGCCCACACAACAGCTCCATGAGTTCAGTTTGAGAGGGAGAGGCTGAGGCATAGAAGGTGTTTTACTACATTCTGATATTTCCTGGGGGAAGTAAAGGAATCTTTGGTGGTCACTGGTACCAGATTTTCTAGACAGGGCTCAGATGATACCCGCATCGGCATGGATGGCTCTGGGTGCATGTCCACAGACCACAAGAATACAAGCATTTGCTCTTTAATGCAATTTAAATTAAAGCTACAAGAGAAGGCCCTGGCGGGAGCAGCAGCAGCCAGGCCACACTGCTGCTTTGCTAGCTTCTTAATCCATTTCCTTGGATGAGGACACTGCGCTGAAGCTTGTGAAGATTTCACCTCAGCATTAAGCTAGCCTGAGGACTACTGACATACCAAACATATTACTCGTAACCTCAGTACTCCTTAGATAGGATCTTAATGTTTCTTAGTGCAGTCCTTCCTGTCTTCCATCTGAGGGCTGTTCTGATATCTGTATATCATGGAAAGCTCGCCCCAAAAACCAAATTACAACAAAACAACTTTGAGAATAACTTACTTAGTTTCTTGCTTAAAAGGGATGGACATTTTCTTAGAGTGATGAGATTTCTTGGTTGTTTTTCTTGAGACGTTTCCCCAGGCGATCTTTTGAGTCTAGTATCAAAAACTTGTTTTGAAAGGTTAAACTTTCACCCTACCCTATACAGATCAGAAAAATGGGAAGGGGAAAGAGAAAGAACCTTGAGAACTTCTAGTCTCCTATATTTCCAGGAAGACTGACCTGGTCCTGGGGCTTTAAGTGTCTACTGTTGTATGAAAGAAAGCATGTAACACACATATCTGTGTACACATAGAAGCAGGCTAAGATATAGCTGAAGAATGTTCATCCATCTATAATTGCTAAACGTTAATTTTGATCGGTTGCTTGTTTTAGTGTTTAAGGTCTTATGTCTAATTATTTGTATTTTGGATTAAAAAACATATTTTTATTTACTTTTTTCCCTGGACCTATTCTCCCCTGCCCCCAACACCTGCTGTTACTATCCTGAGTTCCTGAGATACTGCAGCATTCCCTGTCACACCTTTATTAAGATAAAGTAACTATTTGTTAAATATTTACCTTTTGCAATACAATTAAAGCAAAATAGTTGTGACTAAAATTGTATCTGCTACTGTTGATGACAGAATGAGGATTTTTGCTTTTAATTTACTGTGTTTGTTGAAGAGGTCTGAAAAACTCTGTGCATATTCATAGATCAAAGCATAACTTTTAAAGCCTTTATCAACAGTCTTATATTTCCAGTTTAATCTTACCATCATGAAGGCAGACAAAACCAGACAACCACACAAGCTTCAGGAACTAGCCCACAAGCAGTTCACAGTAAATGAAGACACATGTGAGTTTTCCTTTTTGATTTAGGATATCTCATGGACATTGCATGGATTGTGCAGGTGGTTTAGGCTTTTGGACTCCTGTCCTTGCCAGGGGAAGAGAACCGCTGTGGTAGTGGCTTGCTGAGCAGTGACCATGATTAAATCCTACGTATCCCATATGCGACAGTGCAGGGTCAGATTCCACAAAGGAGTAAACAACGCTTCCCTAGAACAAGAGTATTTCTCTATGGAGGTCAAAAGCGATCACAGTTCTGTAAACCAAACTGATTGCACTAAAGCACTATAACATTATTGCAGTAGAAATTGGGTTCATTAAAGTTTAACTATTGTAAAAATGAGTATTCATGTTTCAGCTATTATGTAAACAAGACAGACAGAACACCTACATAACAACATTTAGAGTAATGGAACAAAAGACTACTTTAAAAAGGACTTTTCCCAGTTTGTTTCCAGACTTCTTTTGCTCCTTTAATGCTTTCTCTCTTCACACATTTCCAGTAACCTTGAATGCCTTGCTGTTGCGGTACCTGAAAGAAAGTCATAGTGTGTTCAACATTTACATAAAAAAAACTCTTACTCGCAGACAGTGGTGTAAATATTCATATAATATATAATGTAATGCTGCTGCTCTCACAACCCATATGTACAGTAACAAGTTCTTGATGGCAGCACTCCTCCCAGATTCCTAAGCACTAAGGAATCTTCAGTTTACAATACAGGTTCTTCCTATTCACTATCTTCACTTGCATTTCTACAAGTGTTAACAAGATAACTGCAAATTCTCCGTAATAATCATCTGTGGTATTTACAAAATGATAAATATATAGCTGCAAATGATAGTTTATGTCAGCATGTTACCCTCAAACCTCGATGAATTCGGTTCTTCAGGACTCCAAGAAACTCCCCATGGCTGAGGCAATCATCTCCATCTAGATCGAAGATCTTGAAGATGGTATCCAAAACATTATCTGAGAGCTCCTGTCCTGTTGCCACCTTCACTGCTCTCTTGAACTCGGCTAGTAAAGACATAATATTACACTATAGGTGACTGTGAACTAACAAAATTGGAAAGCACATAAATAGCAGGATTCTGTACAACTTACAGAGTCTCCTGGCATCTTAGCTAGAGAATCTGGAATGTGTGAACTAGTAAAGTGTATCGGAAGACCTCAGTCCATACGTACTTGGGCTTACTTTATATTTCACAATACAGTCTTTATTACCTGTATTATAAGCTTTTAAACTGCACTACTCCTTTTCAAGCAACACTGAAAGGGATAATTAGTTTTTGCTGAAAGTAGCTGCATGTTAAAAAAATATTTACTTTTGGCTGACCTACATCTGTGTATACAGATTAGAAAGCATTTGCCTCTCTGCAGCCTCCTTAAAAAACTGACCATTTTATCTTGAACCAGTTTCATGCCAAATAACTCCGTAAGAATACTCTGCTCCTCAGAGAACAGTTTTCGATGCTACACTCCACCACAACTGGCAATCCCCTCAGTGATCCTGTAGAAACACATACCATCAGATACTCAGAGCACTGATTACAGCACATGGTTTTATGTACTTGTGGTTGTGTTATTTAAAGAGGTGTTAAGAAGTAGGTTACCTCTTCTTAGATTTATGGGGGAGGAGTTTATGAGGACTTAAGGCAGAAATAGTTGTCATACCTCTCTGGAGATCTACTTTCCTCTCCAGCTTCTTGTCCTCCTCTTTTTCCCCTATCATATGCATTACAGTAACACCTAGTATCACCACTTTTGGGCTTATGGGATAAAGAATTTAGAGTTTTGACTCCATACAGATGAAGAAACAGGCACTAAGGTTGCCATAAAACATAAGAAAGTAACAGTGAAATAATTATAGCGAGTACAATCATAGCACATGAATTTGATGCGTTTTTGTAGGCACTGTGAAAGTATGAATTTCAAGGAGGGACTGGAGCTTACCATAATATAGTAGTATTGCAGATTATTACAGGCAGTTGTCCCACTAAATCATATATAGCGCATACATATAAAGAAACAACCAAACAAATATACTGTGGTTCTATTTTCATAGACAAATGCTGTTTATAAACACTGGTATAAATATGATTAGTTCTGGGCACTCAGAGGAAAGAGCACTCTTGGCTTAGTTCTCATCATTGCCTCTTTGAACAATTCATGTATAAATGTAGTTGATTCATTCATGTGTGGCTTACATACAATTAGGGGAACATCCTTCTGTAAAAGGATATACCACAAGGTAAAAATGACATGAAATATGAGAGGAAGAGTCTTAACTTTGTCTTTAGAAACACGTAAGCTTTTTTATACTTCATACTAAATATAAATCCAAAGATGGCACTGCACTTTTTCTTGAACAGAACATGAAGAAAAGGAAAAAGATCTTCTAAGATTGTGAAGCCTCATAATCTTCAAACCAAGAAGGGTCACCTTATAGGAGAGAGAAAAGATGAGCTGCAAATTTAGAAAAAAATATGCATAGGAATAATGGGAAGTGCTAAAGGACTGGCCTATTTTTTTAAAAAAAAATTCCTGTGTGTGTGGATACACACATGTACACACAAGCAAAACAGTTGGACAAAGAACTTTGATGAAGAAACAATTAAAACACGTATGTGTGTAACATGCATAAGTTACCTCAGGAGCTGTTTTCAATCACAACACGGTTCAGTGCATAAAGAAACGCCCAACTGGTGGGTGGTTAGCAATGAGCTTCTCTAAGTGAACGTTACTAGAGTGAACACCAGCTATAGGCCTCATCATCCTTTGGCACTTTAAAAACGTGTTGCTGACATAACGGTGAGCTGAACTCTCATATCTCACTTGTGACTATTATTTCATCATTACTTCATCCTCTTTTCTCTCCACTCTGTGTACATCTTGTATAAATAAAATCTGTATCTCCCATAGAAGAAAGATGCTGACAAGCGAGGCAGAGGAGGGCCATGAAGCTGGCTGGGGACGGGGGCATGTGATGGAAGAAGAGAAGCTGAGGGAACTGAGGAGAACAGAAGGATGAGAGGGGATCTAGCTGCAGCCTTCGACTACCTAAAGGGCTTATAGAGAAGACAGAGGCATATTTTTCTGCGGGGTGCACAGAGGTAAGAGGCAATCATCACAAGTTGCAGCACGGTAATCTGATTGAGAATAGAGAAAAAAATCTTCATTATAAAAGTGGTAAAGCTCTAGAACAGGTTGCCCAGAGAGGCTGTGAAAATTAAACTCTTCCTGAAAACTGGATTAACTAGTGATGAAAATTACAGCATGGTAAAAACACACAGTTTTGGCTTTCTTTGATTTAAGTAATCTTTGTATTTCTCTCTCAAGAACACTAAATTATCTTCCTGTCTTGCCACGTGATTCTTCCCTTTTTTTAGATAAATCAGTCAAATATTTATTTCAATGAATGTTAAAGCCTCATCAACTTTCCTCAGGAACTTTTCGTGCTACTATTTTCAAAAAACTGATGAGGGCTGCCTTTCATCTGTAACAGGTAGTAACAACCGCAGAACTAGAACAAAAAGCATTTTTATTTCCATGAAAATTTTGTTGCATTGCTCCTGATTTCTATTATATGGGATAGAAGAACTGTCAGCAACTTCTCTCCCCCAAATCTTTGTTATAAGAAACACGTTACTACATTGCTTATTTTTTTAAATAGCTAAGATTGTTACATAATTACATGGAGATGACAGGATGGAGGAATAAATTAAAAATAGTAAGTTGCTATAAACCCTTCAAAAGAACACATTTCTACTGTTAGTTTGCTCAGAAAATTAGTTTTATTATCAGGAAAAAGTTTTATTATCATGAACTGTTGCAAAAACATGCATTCTTTCATAAAAACCTTTAGTCACATTTCCTGATCTATAATTTGGTCTGATGTGAGTGGTTTGGTGAATATTATATAGTGAATATATATGTGTGTATATGTTATATAGCACATAAGAACTTACAAAGGAAAATATTTTGGGAAAGGCGCATCGTTATTTTTCATGAATACAGAATTAATTTGGAAAAGTAGGATCCTATACTTTTGGATTCCATAATGCTACTTTGAGATAACTTATTAATAAAAATCCTGTAACAATAATATATTTTCTCTTAAAAATGCATATATGAAGCTGTGCAGCACTTACCCCGTTTAACAGGACGATTAGCTACAGTGAACATCTGCATGGCAATAGAAAAGTCTTCCAGGTTGTTTGTAAACTTGCAAAAAGTCTTGAATTCCTCCAAACTGATATTCTAGAGTAGCGCAGAATTCAGATGATAATTATTGAGTAATACATTGAAATCCTAGTAGATCTATTTCCTTAAATTTGGTGGGACCTAATATTTAGGTGTGAGTCTGCTTATTCATCTTCTATGTTTATATTTCTCAGTCGAGAAATTAGCACTGTGCTTGTTTGCATGAAATCGTTTTGAAAAGCGGCAGTAATTCCTTCAGAAACTGGTGACATTTTTGCATACTCACACTCAAATGAAAACTTATACTTAAAAATGAGGAAGCAAAACAAAGTACATGCTATGTACCAACCTCGCCTGCCTGAATTCTGTCTTTCACATTTTGCCAGTAAATTTCATTGTTTTCCTCATCAGTGAAATACAGCAACCATTCTGCAAAGTCTTCTTTTCTCATGGCGTTCAAGCCCTTTGAAAACTGTATGAATTCCATTTCTTGTACTTCTGTTTGCAGGTTTTCCATGAATCTAAGTGCAAACAAACGTTATCCAACAGTTGCTACTTGCACTTGCACCACTTTATCACTACTCCTACCTTAGCTACTAAATGCAGTAGACACTACCACCTAATCAGATACTATCTACATCAGTTTTAAAAAAAATCTAATTTTGATCTAATTTTACCTGTGGGTACTGATTTGTTTCCAGTGCTGCACTTTAGTAATTGCACCAGTAGGGTGCTCTCTAAGTCTATGTACATAGCTTGCTGCTGCTAAGGTAATTTACAGATACTACTTAGAATACAGTTGTTGCATATGGAAGGAAAATGTTTAAAAATGTGCAGATAATTAAATAAAACTACTGAAGAGGCAGTATTAAAATGAGTGAATGAATGAACGAAAAAGGACATGATAACTGAAAGCTTGACACATGATTTATGAAATTTCGTATTAGTAAGAGAGAAATGAAAAGGTTGGAAAACGCCTAGAAAAGTGAGGCTCTAATAATCACAAGCAACATAAGCCCCACCTAGAAAGGTGACAGAAAAAAAAGGAAAATTGAAATCATCAGTACAGGAAAAGATGACTAAAAGCCTCAACGACTGTAAGTGCAAAGTGGGGTTTGGCAGATCAGGTCTGCACTCATGAGAGAACGGATTAAAGAGGATTACAGCTGACATGTGCAGAGTTTGGAAGAGGACAGAAAATGATGTCACAGGTGTTTGGGAAGCTAACGAGAACTGTCTGAAAAAGGGAGGTGTGAGTATCAAGGGTTTCAGGACACACTTTTTTTTTTTTCCTAGAGAGAAAAAGAGTAACACATGAAACAAGTAACAACCTGCAGGCACAGAAGCTACCACTGTAAGCGGAGTTGTGGCTCTGAGTTTTCTCAGTTTGGTTTACACGGCCATTATCCTTTCTTCTGGCCTCATACAAATTTGGAGAAAGCAAAAAACCATGGTGTGTGATCTTTTTGGTAATTCTTACTTTAGAAATGGGGCAATGTAAAAATAAGTGATAATTTTGTAATAGAAGTAAAGGCTAAAAACAAAATGATGCTTGCTAGAATGTCCTTATTGCCACAAAAGAACCCTGCTTTAGTGAGCTGCAATAATTACTGGTAGGAAGGAATGAAATACTTCTATATTGAGACAAAGCAATTAGTTGGAGAAGAGGACAGCTAAGTGTCTATGCAGCAAAAATGAGTAGAGCCTCATTTGCCTGTCAGTATTTGCATGGCCTCACTGGATTTGAATTCTTTTCCCTGAAATAGAGGCATTTTAGTCCATACAACTATCTTTAGTTCTTTAATGAGATCACTTGGACAATTAGTAGCTTCAAGCTCTGTGCAATCTGGAAGGGGTTAGCTGAAGACTGCTGTTGCAGCATAAGCTCTCTCTTGTATTTTCTTCCCTAATAATTAGAGCTGCACATAGAAATAAAGGGCCTGAACAAATGCTTCATTGCTCAGGGCATGCAGGTAAATGAAAGCCTGACAGTGGAAGTGATTTTAAGTGGCAGGCTACAGTTTTATTAATGCAATACCGAGGAGAGCTAAAGTATGCTCTCTCATTTTATAAGGATATCTATCTGGCCCAGTAATGTAGGTTTACAAGGCTTCCACGACACAGTCAATAACTAAGGCATATTCTTCCACAGTCCACCTTAAGGCTTGGCTCACTTTCAAGTCCCCTTACTCCCTCTCACAAGGGGATAAAATCCCAAAGGAATTGCTTGTTCGGCAGATGTGAAGGTGAGACCTGTTGTCTTGCAGACCTGCAGGAGCTTCCTTGTTGCTTGCAAACCATGCTTTAGTTTTCAGACACAGCTCCTGCCCTTGCAACTAAGCTAACGAGGTGACTGCTGCTTCTGGCGAGCCAACAACCAGCGTGGGATGGATGGAGGAGAGCCACCTGCGCAGGCTGGCAGCACCAGTCCTGCTGCTCCGTACAGCCCCTATGAGATGCCACAGTTTCAGCTGGGAGGAGAGAGGAAGGCAGGGACTAGTACTAGGTCTAGGGTAGGGCAGAGCATGGACCTAAGTGATGGGCTGGTGGAAGGGTGACATGGTGAAGGAGTCCCTGGCTACCTCCTAGGTGTGGATAAAGATGGTTAGAACAAAATAAGTCAGCATGTATCACAGGCCAGGCTGCTAGGAGAAGCAGCTGTGGCTGGGGGAACTCAGAGAACCATTGCCCCTAAAGCCTGTCAGAAACTGGCTGCTCTCTACCTTGAAGACCCTGATCCTCAGACTGTTTTTTAAATCTAATCCATCTGTCCTGGCTGACCAGACAAGCAGGGCCAACATAGCAAGGGGCCTCCCCCAGAGCCAGGTGGATCTGTGCAGACCAGGCAGGGAGTCAGTCCAGCCGAGACTGGACCAGGATCGCTTTGCTGCGTTTTGGACGTGTGTGGCAAGGTCTGAAGGGGTAGGTAGAATCTGGGACATGTGCTTTGTGCTTGGCTGGCAGTCACAGTGGAAACCACGCAGAACAATAGCTGCATCTCTGACTGTAGTCTGCAACCCACTTAAGGCTTGGTCTAGGGAAGGAATTGCTGCTGAAAGAGAACTCACTTTCAGAAATATGCCTAAATCATAGATATATGACACCATGTGTTTTATTTTCCTGGCTTTTAGTCTGTGAAAAGTGGACACACCTTATGATAGATTTAAGGTGTGTTATTGGAAGTATGAGTTATTTATTGGGGGAACAAGTCTCAACCATTAGCTGTACTGGTCATATTCTTCCGTCTTCTGTGCGTGCTACGTTTGCAGATTCTCCTTAACCTGAAGGAGCAAAAACCTTAACCACAGCAGCCTGCTCACTGGCCATACCAAATAAAGGCAGGAGAGCTGAAAGACCAAGCATGTGTACGTGCTGAGGAAGGAGCAGGTGGCCCATGTAGCCACGCACATCAGCCAGCTGAAAGGTGCAACAAACCCAAAGAGGAAACGGAAGGGTTTGGCTGTAGCATTTTTGACATGTACTTGCTTCTGCCCCCTCTGGTAGTCTGAAAGAGAATGAAGTGTTATTTTCCCCTGTCCCACTGTGCGTTTTCCACTGCCTTTTCTCAGGCCTGGTTTCTTGCCCGTTACACTTGCCCTGAGGCAATGATATTGCACAGTTCCTATTGCCTGATAACCACATATCTTACTGCGCTGCTCAGATTAGGGAGGGGAGCTTTACTTATTATTTATTTAGGTACAAAAAATTTAATGGATATTTCATTTTAACTTGAAGGCTTGCTCCTGGCAAGGTGGAGTGGGAAGATTTCATGCAGCACAAAATGCTACTTGGAGCAGAAGCTGAACTGCGCAATTTTAAATTCAGATGTGATGGGCTCCCATATTACAAAAATTACAATAATATGAATCATTGCATCAGCATTCTAGGTCATTTTTATTCCCAGATGTGAGAGTTAAAAATCCTAATGAGTTTTTTTTTTTTTAGAGAAAGTTATTAAAAGTTATTTTTAATAACTTTCTAGTTAGAAAGTAAAGCTTGATACTTATATGCCTAGGACACTACTACGGATATTTGCTTTTGTACCTTCCAGATCACAATGATGTGAGGAGTTTCTGCTAGAAATTCCTTCAAACTTCTTCAGAAAAACAAGCATAGAAATGAAAGTCTTGCTCTCCTGAAGTCAACAGGAGCTTGACCATGGACATCTAAGGAGTCCAGGGGTCCAGAACTAGAAACAAGGAAGAGGATTCTGATCTTAGACGTGCTGTACAACTCCAGAGTAATTACACTGTGAATACTCTTACACTACAGTAGCTGACAATAAAACAAGCCCTGAGTTTACAAAAAAAGAAAAGGTAAATCCTTAATTTTTAAGACGGGAAAAAGGCAGGGAACGGACAGCACTTTAAGACAGCCTGCTTCATCCACACTCTTTAAAACACCCACGTTGAAGGCTAACGGCCAAATTCGTTATCATGTCATAACAGCCTCCAGAAACCTTATCAGGATTTAAGCCCTCATTTTGTAATACACTTTGCAAATCTATAGAGAGAGGGAGTCTCTCAAGACTTTCTGGCAACTCACCTTTCATAGAAGTGAAAATGTAATAAAAGTGGGGGGACCTCAGGAATCCAGTTATTCTCTCTCCAACCTGAGATGCTGAAATGAAGTGCTAGCTTTGTATATTCCTTATGGCATACAAGGTAGCAGAATGAAGCACAAAAGGAAAGGTTAGGGAAAGTTTCCCTTCATACACCTCTTGACCTGTACTGAAAGTCTGTGTAGACCTTTAACATTCAAACACAGAACTGACCAGTGCTTGTGGCACTAATTTGTAGGAAGGAAACACAACAGCAAAGGTTATTGTAGATACATCACCCCAGCATCTGAACTCTGCTGAGGCTCCTCTTTGGACACTGAAGTCCTGCT